AAAAAAAAAAAAAGAACTATATAAGCTGGGCTAGCTAGCCACTTAGGAGGCTGAGATCTGAGGGTGGTGGTTCAAAGCCAGCCCAGTGAAGGAACTCTTATATACAGTTAACTACAAAAAAGTCAAGAAGTGGAGCTTTGACTCAAATGGTAGCTTGCTACCCTTGAACATAAAAGCTCAGGGACAGCACCCAGGCTCTGACTGAGTTCAAGCCCCAGGATTGGCACTAAAAAAAGAAGATATATATCAAACACTGTTCTAAGAACTTGACATAGTTAAATCTCATTGCTGTGCAGTGGTGTATTACTAGTTTATGTACACAATTAGTCTTCTAATGTATTCTGTCTTTTAATGCCACTATTTCTTCTTTGAAGTGATCAGGATATTCTTCAGCATCTTCCAAGAGCTTTGACTATTCATATTTATATTTAGATATTTGGCACAGTTCTTTTATCTGGTATATTTTGTACAATGCAGTACACAAAAATACATAGTATAAAAAGTTGCCGCATCTCTTTGAGATCCACTTTAGGCTCTTTATTACTTTTTTGCCACTCAACTTTCCTGAACTAATTCTGCTACTCTAATCACCATAGTTTTATAATATCCTTTTTTCCATAAGCAGTATTTAAAAACTTTTATTTTTCTGAATTGCCTTAACTATTCTTAGGCTACTACTTTTCTTTGTGGATTTCAGAATGTTTACCAATAAAGAACCAAAAAAAACCCATATTGGAATTATGAGTTTATACTTTAAAAAATTGGTAGATTGCATTTAATGTAATTGCATTCATTTATTGTTAAATTGAGGACAGTTTGAAGTTTTACGTTACAGTTATTTTAAGTGATATGTTAGTACTAATTCTGGTCTATTGTGGCTTATATTTAGCTCCTTAATGATTTTTTTTTGGGGGGGAGGGGGTCAGTCATGGGGTATGAACTCAGGGCCTGGGTACTGTCCCTGAGCTCTTTTTGTTCAAGGCTAGAGCTCTAACATGTTGAGCCACAGACCCACCTCTGGTTTTTCTGGTTGTTAGTTGGAGATGACTCTCACAGACTTTCTTACCTGGTATACTTTGAACTGTGATCCTCAAATCTCAGCCTTTTTAGTAGCTATGATTACAGGAGTGAGCCACCTGTACACAGTTCTAAGTGAAATTTATATTGGGGTTTTACTTACTTATTTTGATCTATTGGGGGGTGCTTTTGAGTTTTTTTGTTTTGAAAAAAAAGCAGCAACCTTCCTGAAGTCCTTTAGTGGGTCTTTTGGGTTATCAACCTAAGATATTTTCTCTAAAAAATAGTTACTGGGCTGGGAAGGTGGCTCAGTGGTAGAGCGCTTGCCTTGCATGCATGAGGCTCTGGGTTCAATTCCCCAGCACCACATAAGCAAAAAAGAAAAAAAGCCAGAAGTGGCGCTGTGGCTCAAGTGGTAGAGCGTTAGCCTTGAGCTGAAGAGCTGAGGGACAGCACCCAGACCCAGAGTTCAGGCCCCATGACCGGACCCAAAAAAACAAAACAAAACAAATAAAAATAGTTACTGTTTTAATTCTTATACCTTTTTTTGCCTGGGCATTGTCCCTGAGCTTCTTTTGCTTAGGACTAGCACTCTACTACTTTAGCTATAGCGCCACTTCTGGCCTTTTCTGTTTATGTCGTACTGAGGAATTGAACCCAGGGCTTCATGCATGATAGGCAAGCAGTCTACCATGAAGCCACATTCCTAGCCCCTCTTCCATCTTTTGGGGGGGAGGGTCTGGTGTTGGTCATAGGGCTTGAACCCTGGGCCTGGGCGCTGTCCCTCAGCGTCCCTCAGCTCTTCAGCTCAAGGCTAGCACTCTGCCACTTGAGCCACAGTGCTCCTTCCTGTTCTCTGTGTTTATTGGAGATGAGTATTTCATGACTTTCCTGCCTTGGCTGGCTTTGAACTCTGATTCTCAGGTCTCAGCCTCCTGAGTAATTAGGATGATAGCATGAGCCACTGGTACCCAGGTCTTAAATCTTTCTTTTATTCTCTTTTTCTTTTTACTTTTGTTTTTGTTGTTGCCAGTGCTGTTGTTGCCAGTTTGAGCTGAAGCCTTACACAGTTTGCTTACTTAGGTGCCATTTTACCATTTGAACCTTTTTTCCAGTCCCTGTTTTACTGTTTTGACTTGTGGGTTTATTTTATTTTATTTTTGGTCGTGGGTCTTGAACTCTGGGCCTGGGTGCTGTCCCTGAGCTTTTCAGCTTAAGATGAGCCCTCTACCATTTGAGCCACAGCTCCACTTCTGGTTTTCTGGTGGTTCATTGGAGATAAGATTCTCACAGCCTTTCCTGCCTAGGCTGGCTTTGAACCATGATCCTCAAAACACAGCCTCCAGAGTAGTTAGGATTACAGGCTTGAGCCACCAGTGCCCAGCAACTTTTGTGTTTTTATCTTGTTTATTCTGACTTTTTCCAAGCACATGCTTTTTTGTTAAGGTTATCAGTTTTTTGTCCTTTCTTCTAGGTATTGTTAACAGAAACAATATAGTCAAATAAGATGAAAATGTAAATTTAGCATATTTTTAAAAACAAATTTACATTTTGTCTTAATGTTACAATGTGTTCCTTTTTTTTCTAGGCAAGGATAAAAGCCATCAACACATTTTTTGCTAAAAATGGTTACAGGTTAATGGATTCAAGTATGTATAGTCAGCCCATCCAGACTCAAGCCCAATTTCCCTCACCAGTGTTTATGCAACCTGTATATAGTCCCCACCAACAGTACTCCATCTATAGTCTTGTGCCTCAGTCTTGGTCTCCAAGTCCTGCACCTTACTTTGAAACACCACTGGTAAGTGAGATCCTTATTGAATGGTGAAATAAATTTTCATCAGGGTAAATTTGAAGAAATCATCTAGAGTAGTAGTTCATTTGTTTAGTGTTGATACAGGTTTTTTCCTGGCTTTTAAATTGTGATATGGGTTGATATGGATATCTAATTGCAGTTTTATTCTTTCTTTTTTTGTGCATGAGTGTGTTCATATACATGCTGATAACAGGACTTGGACTCCAGGCCTTGAGCTCTTACTGTGGCTGGTACTCTACCACTTAAGCCACACCTCCATTTCTGGCTTTTTCTTAGTTAATTGGAGATGAGAGTCACAATTTTGACTACCTAGGCTGGCTGCAGGTCTTAGCCTCCTGAATAGCTTTGATTATAGTTGTAAGCCACTGACACCTGGCTTTGCCCTTTTATTCTTTAAACTGTGAGTGAATTGAAAGAAGAAACTAAGTTCTGTATAAGTTTAACTTTTTTTGTCAGTCATTGGGCGTGAACTCTGGGCCTGGGCACTGCCCCTGAGCTCTTCAGCTCAAGGCAAGTGCTCTACCACTTGAGCCACAGTGCCATTTCCGGCTTTTTTCTTTTTGCTTATGTGGTGCTGAGGAATCAAGCCCAGGGCCTCTGGCATGCAAGGCAAGAGCTCTACCACTGAGCCACCTTCCCAGCCCCTATACTCCTTTATTTTTATTTATTTATTTTTGCCAGTCCTGGGGCTTGAATTCAGGGCCTGGGGCTGTCCCCAAGTTGCTTTTGCTCAAGGCTATCATTCTACCACTTCAGCCGTTGTACCACTTCTGGCTTATATTGTTTGTGGTACTAAGGAATCAAACCCAATTCATGCATGCTAAGCAAGCACTCTACCACTGAACCACATTCCTGGCCCTTAATGAATGATTTTTAAGACAGTCTTGTTTAGGTAGTCCAGACGAGTCTTGACCTTCATCTTCCTACGTCAGCTTCTATAGTGCCGGGCTTACACCATTATATTTTTTTCTTAATTATTATTATTTCTTACAATGATAAAAGAAACAGTATGCCTTTGAAACAAATATATATGATATCTTTGTAAAATAAATCATTTTTATTTTTTTAATTCTTCATCTTAGGTTATTTGATTGAATCA